CCCTTTGGTCATCAGTCCTCCCTCTCTGTTACTGGCTTTCTTGAGTTCAGCTCAGTGCTTAACCGAAGGAGTCTGCCTCTTCTTCCATCAGCCACTGAATGAAGTTTCTGTTTCCCAGACTCTCTGGCCATGGGATTGTAGGCTGGCACTCCCCAGATCTATGTCTAAAATCCATATATATATATTTAAATAAGCCATCCCCTCCACTAATCTGAACTCTTGTTCTAAAAGCCTTAGATACGTTAACTGCCACAGGTCTCTTCCCACATCCCCACTCCTCACCAAGAAGGTGGCATGGAGTGTTCTTCTATCTGCATCTATCTTTTCTTGCCTTCTCTAGGAAAGCATTATAGTTTATGCTTGTGAATTTTTATCATTTTAGTCCACAGCTGAATGTAAGTTATGCATTCTTCATGCCTGAAGGGGCTTCCTTTACATAGTGTGCTGCTTTTCTTATCGATATCCTTTAGATACTGGACAACAGACACCTAACATAGAAACAAAATTAAATGTTGATACTAATGAATAAAACCTCGAGAACTGCCTTTCTTCAAACTCTGTGTACATCCCAGCATTCCAGAGGCATTCCTGAGGCAAACGGGTCTCTATTAGTGTAAGGCTAGACTGGTCTACAGCAAATTCTGGGACAGCTAGAGCTGCTATACAAAGAAACCCTGTCTTGAAAAACAAAATAAAACCAGGAAACCCCCCCAAAAAAACAAAAAACAAAAAACTGAAGCCAAAACAAAACTCCATATACAAAATTAATGAGGTCTTTTAAAAACTGTAGGAAGGGCCTTCACTTAGTCAAACTGAGCTTCTGGTTGCCCTCTTAAAGCTACTTTTGTAGGGTAATTTCCATGAAGTCAACAGTTGTGTCTGTATGTTTTAGTTTTCTATTGTGTATCCTGTGCTTAGAGTAACATTTGGCACACAAAAGCTCACAGTGATTCCGCCATTTGCCCTCAGGCATTTCAAGAAGTCCAAAGATGTTGATAACATTGGCTTTTGAAGTACTCAGGGTGAAGCAAGGCCAGACAAAGTAGAGCACACAGCTATTCTGCACTGTCTTTGGACATACATTACTCAGGGCAACTGAAGTTGGAGATGTCTAATGTGTCCATATAAGAGGAAGTAAGCTGGGAGATTTCCATTTTTGTAACATGTTAATTAGATGCAGGTTTCATACTTTTCCCAGAACATTTTAAAATGCTTCTGATTGGAAGCCACATCCTGCCCAAACATTTGAGAAAATAGATACAATTTTCTTTCCTGTCTAACAACCATCTGACCAGTTGGATGAAAAGGATTGTTCTGGTGTTTTTGGCCCAAGAAAGAATACTGTTTGCTAGTATGCACTGTTATAGCCAATGCTGTGTGAAAAATAAAACAAGAAGTTCTAGGCTTAAGTAGCACAATTGTCTGGCTGAGTAAGCCTAGCACCAAGGGCATAAGAAGTTCTCCAAACACAAGTTCCCTGGCAGGGAGCGCATGAAGAGAATGGTAACATACCAGCACAAGTAGTTAAGATTCCAATACTGTGACAATGCATTGCCATGTGCTACCAAAGGATGCACCAGCCCTTAGTTCTACTTTAGACCCTGAGGTTATCAGGTACTGAAGTAGAATTTAAAACCAACTAACCAAACAAAAGCCTCCAGCTTGGTGACCTTCTAGGCAAATGTCCCTTTCAGGAATAAAGGCATTAAGTGACCAGAAACCTTGATCCAGCTAGGACAAAAACAAAAATCCAAAACAGTGGCTACAAACGAGACAGAGTTTAAATTCAGTGCATTGCCCCAGCACTCCCTTACCCATTTTCTTCATGGCCCTCTCCTCTGAATAGTATTTATCCAGACCTTAACTAAAGAGTGCTCATTTTTACAGTGGGATCATCATAGGCTGTATTAGAACAGTCAGATAAGGCATACTTTATTCTTCCTGTTGAGGAGTTTTGCCCTGAAAGCTGGGCCTTTTCAGTGCCACAGTGAGCTGAGCATTAGAAATGGCCAGGACTCCCGTTTCTATTCTGAGTTAGGCTGGTGCTTCAGGCTTCACAAACACCATCAGGAGAAGGCTGGGGTTTAACAGTGTCATTATTTTTGCTCAGTGAGCCAGGAACAAAGAGCAAGCTGGTTATTGTGCTATGCAGGTTTCTTTAGGGCATTTGGAAAAATGAGTGAGAAAGGATGGAAGGAGAAATAAGGCCACTGAAGTCTCCATAAACACACAGGAGTTCCAGGTAACTGGAACATTTGGGGAAGCCCATTAATTCCCAAGATTCCTAATTCAAACGCCAGGCAAAGTCAACCCCTCCATGGTGCTCATTTACATAACCCTGAAGAAGTGTCACTTTTCCTTTCATAGTCACTGTTGTTTTTAGACAATAGCTATTGTAGATTTGGGGTACACTAAAAATTAAGCATGGTTAGCATGATGGTACAGGCCTGTAGTCCTAGCACGCAGGAGGCTGAGGCAGTACATTTTAGGCTTGTTTAGGCAACATAGTGGACCCTGTCTCACAACAACAACAGAACAACAAGTGAGAGCAAAGACCGACTTTGGGGTTGGGATGGGACTCAGTGGTAGACTGTGTGCTCATCGTGCAACTGCCCTGGATTTAATCCCCAGCGCAGCTAACTAACTTGCTAATAAAACTTTTACTCAACAAAACTAGAAGAAAAGCAGGTGATGGAATCTCACAAGATGAATGAAATTATAAATGTGGCCCAAGCCAAGACACAGAACACTGCTGTGAACTCGGAACTTTAGCACCTGCTCAGTGACTCCAGTCTCATATCCCAAGTGAAGCAACACCCTGACTTAGTCACTGTTGGTTGTGTGAACTGAATGCTATTCAAATGAACTCCAGCCGCCCATACTTGTTAGTCTGTAACGTCTCTCAGTCAATATGCTCATGCATGCTGGCTGTTACAGGTAGTTGATGTGTTCACTCCCATTTTCAGCTGGCAATTCAATTCTACTTCACAAATGAATCACTATTTATCCACGAACTGTTTATGGAGCTCTGAGTCTAGTCCTTTGCTTTTAGGTTTTCGTTATTGGGAAATTACAGTTTCTCTCAGCACACTGGGGCATGTCTTTTGGTCCATGTATGTACTCATTTGCTTTTGTGGATATGCTCTGGAGTAGAGCTGATGACCACAGGGGAAGCCTGTGGCTAGTGTTAATTATATGGCCAGACTGTTCTCAGTTCATTGCACTAACTTATATTACCAATGGTCTTTGAAAAATCCAGCAGCTAGATAGCCTCTCCTGATATTGATATTTTGTGTGCATTTGGAGTGTGGTACCATTTAATTGTGGCTATTTTTTGGATATGTTAAATTTTCATTTTTCTTTTCCTTTTGAAAACTGCATTTTAAATGGAAATATAATTGCCTTACTTTCCCCGTCCATAAGCTCTTCTCAGGTACCATCCATTCAATCCCTCCCACCCCCTCAAATTGATAGTCTCTTTTCCTTTTACTATGGTTACAAACATATGCATGTGTGTATGGATATGTATGCATAAATATATAAATACAACCTGCTGCTGGATGTGTTGAAGTCACAATGCCTATTAGGCATATTAGGAGAGGATTAAAAAAAAATGTGATTGAGGGGCCTGGCTTGGTGTCTCATGCCTTTAATCCCAGTTAATACTCAGGAGGCAGAGGCATGTTCAAGACCAGCAGGAACTAGATAGTGAGACCCTGGCTCAAAAATGACAGACTATGAACACCCCCACGGAGGGCCTCACCCTCCCTGGGGATGTGAGGGGATAATGGGGTGGTTGGGGGGGAGGGCACGGGAGGAGGGGAGGGAAAGGGAGAGGGACCTGGAACTGACTTGTGAAGCAACCTTGTTTCTTATCTAAATTTAAACTGAAAAAAAATTAAAAAATTGGGGTGGGGGTAGGGAAGAAAAGCCAGATAGGAATGGGTTCAATGGAGAATAGAGGTATCATCTAAGATGCATTCTTGCCTCAAAGATTGAACTTGAGTTGAATAAAACCCTTAGATGTAATTTCTACTCTACAGAAAAACATGGTGGTTAGAAATAAGTGAAAAACACGAGGAAACAAAAACAAGAGCGCATCAAAGGCCCACTTCTTATTCGGGTTTGGGCTGAGCCTAATAACGTTATTGAAGTATGAACCAATTCACAGAAAAGTAAGGGACACGACAGGGGGTGGTCTTCATAAAGACAATGAAATCTAAAGAAATGACCAAGGCATAATACTTCTTATACCAAAGATCAGTGAGCTGTGAAGGAGGACAGAACAATATAGTAAGTCCCAGGGATGCTACTGTTTTAATGTGGATAACCCGCTGAACCAGGGAGGTGAAGCTAGTGGAAGAGTGAGTTTATTCAGGTTCTTGTGGTCCCGGTGAGGAAGGCTATCATCTTGGGCTTTGTGCATGAGTGATAGTCCTCCCAAAAGAATGGTTTTTGTTTTTAATGTTTAGTTTCTAAGGTTCTGGGGCTTGATCTCAGGGCCTCAGTCATGCTAGACAGTTAAGCAAATGCTTTATCACCAAACTATAGTCCCAACCCTCAAAAGAATCTTTTGGTTTGGAGACCAAGTCTCTATGGATAGCTCTGTCTGGCCTGCTATTGGCCATATAGCCCAGTCTTGCATTCCTCTTGTCCCAGCTTCTCAAGTGATGGATTGTAGGCATCTGTCAAAAGATACCAGAAGAATTTAGTCTTGTTGAATGTAGGAAAAGGCAGATCAATTGGCCTTTCTAAAGTTCTTTGAGTGATTCAGCTTGAAGTAATCAATATACCAAAAATATTTTTTAAATTGAGCAAATGAATACAATTTTCAAAATGATTAGAGCTTGAAATAGCTTATGCTAGAGTATTAGGAAATTAATAAAACTACACAATCAAAAGCATTTCTTACCTGACGAAGTTAAACAAAAGTCTTTTAGATGCAACATTTTTGTATAAAATGTTTTATGGACTATTGTTCGACATCTCTCTCCCCTTAGGGTCAGTGGATATGGTTCTGAGTGACCAACAGAAACAAACACTCCAAAAATACAAAGAAGAGCAACTCCCCCAAATCAAAAGACAATGAGAGAAAGCCAAACCAGGAATGCCCAAAGTGGGTCTCCACCAACCTGCCATCCCAGCAAGACCAGAAGAGTGAAAAACCAAACTGGAAAAGGTATATTTGTGATCTTAACTTGAAAGAAAGAAATAATTCCTTTAACTCTGCAACTAAAAAATAGATACTTAACAGGTATCTTTATGACACAATTACTAAGGATACATTTTAATTTTAAACTGAGAAACGGGAAAAACTTTTTTCAGTATTCTTTAAAATTGATCTGTTTTTGACTACTTAAAGGTTTTTTTTATCCAAAGATCATATGGAATAGACAAAGGTATCACTGTGTATAGATGATTGTTAGTAAAATAACATTTTGTAACTCCCCCCCCCAAAGTTTGTAATTCCATTTGAAATGTCAAATTGGGTGTAAACATAGTGATTTATTGATAGGTATAAAAATCGATGGTAACTTGGGCAGATCAGAAAGAAAGCACAGCTTAGGGGTACAATTCATTTCTGAGTCCTCTAAATACAATAGCAAATGAAGGTTTGGGGAGAGAAAGAAGTACGTTACATGGGAAATGGTGTGACTTTTGTCAAGTTACGAAGCTAAATTTCATGTTCGTAACAGATTGGAGTCACAGCCATGTCTCTGTAACATTTATAGCCTCTGGGATCTATACAGCAATTAACCAAATTCCAAGGCTCTATGGAGGTTGGTGAAGGCCTAGAAATAAAATCAGCATATTATAGTATGTCGGATGGGAGATAGCCATAAGAGTAGGCACTGAGTGACATTTCTAGTTGGAGCAGTCCAGGGAAATCTTATTGAAATGCTCAAATGTGGGGGGAAGTCTTAGTGGAAGTGAGTGAACCCTAGGAAAAAACTTACTGCCTAGGAGGATTTTTGCTGTGTAATTTGTTTATTTTCTGGCAGTGTTGGAATCATAGAGGCCAGGGTCTGTGCATGCTAGGCACGCTCTCCACTGCTGGGCAAACAACTAGACCATGGTGCCCAAGGCAGTCTCTATTCACAGTTCTTTATGAGGCTGACTCACCGGGACAGCTTAAGCACATGTATGAACACAACAGGGCCTCATCTCAGTGCAAGAAAACCACAATTAATGTTATTAGCATTTTCAGAATTCTCACATGAGCACATAAGAAATTGATGTTTTAATTTTTTTTTGAGACAGTGTCTCTCCCTTTGTGGCGCTGGTGGCTGGCTGGCTTGGAACTCAGAGATCTTGCCTGCCTCTGCCTCCTCAGCCCTGCCATTACAGATGCACAGGGCTGCATCTAAATGAGGGCCTTGTTACTTTAATCAGAGACTTAACAAAGTTTATCTCCAACTTGCATTTGGCAGCTGGCTTGCCCTCAGTTCTGCAAACAGTATCTGAGTATGTTTTACACACCAAGGAATTCTGGACTGGAACCAGCCTCTGACTGGGACACTGGAGCTGCTTCTTGTGAGGAGTTACTCTGTGACGGGGTATCTTTCTTAGGATTACTCACCACCACGTTCTGGGGTATGACTTTAGACTTTAGTCCCACTCCTTCCACACCTGAAACTGCTGTATTTTTTTGGGATGGAGGGGGTTAGTGTTATTATTACCTCCAATCCTCCAGCAGGAAGAGGCAAGCTCATCCTTTCAACAGGGAACCATTTAATCTTGAGATTTATCTTATTTACACCGTGATCTGTCACTGTTTTCCAGGACACAGAGCATCTTATACCCCACTGCCCCGGCTTTTAAGGATGTCTGAAAACAACATTGTATCAGTGCGCTCAGTTTTGTGCCTCTGAGGAGCAGGCTTCTCCAGTGATATCTTTTCTTAGAAGGTCGCGTTAGCCCTGCTCTCGGGCACAACTTTGCTGGCAGAAAAAAGTGTTCCAAATCTTGGAGAACAATGTTCAGAAGAAAGTGCTGGAAACAATTTAACAGGATTCTCAATTCTGAGAAAACCCAGCATCAAATATCATCTGTCAGCTTCTTTGATGTTTCCTTGGCTGCCGCTTTGGTGTGGTTTCCTGCCTCAGTCTCTCTTCCATTGCATTTTCTTAATGGCAGCTATTTGATTTTCAGCTGTCATCCTCTCTCCATCATCCTGTTCTGCTTTGGTTGCTATACGGTCACAATTTCTGGACTATTTTGCTTGGACTGTTATCCTTTTTCCATCCAGATTCCTCAAGCTTAATCAGATTGTTGAATATTTTTTATATCGTCTACCATCATCAGGAATGTCCAGTTCCATCTTCTGGTCCCACTCCAGACAGTGTGAAGTTAATTTGTCAGTTTCTGAGTGTAGAATTCTTCTGAAATAGAACACAACATGCTGTGGCTGAGATATCTGACCTTCAACTAGTTCAAGTGCTGTGACTTCTTTCATGGAAAAACCAATTTGGATCTGTAATAGTAGCTTCCTTTTGATTTAAGCAATGTTTTTACATTACAAACTGTTAAGAGAATCCAAAGAGTGTTGTAATTTACTTGATTCTCCCTGTACTGCATTGGTAGAGTAAGCTTTAGATTTTTGTACCAAGATTTCATTTACTGCATTTCGAGTGGCAATGGACTTTGGATATAAAGGATTCCAATCACAACTGGGTTCAATGAAGCATTGGCACTTCTAGGACACATGGATGCCACTTGATAGGTCTTCAGAACATGAAGTGGCTGAAACACACAATGCTCAGGTACAAGGGAATTCTTTTCTCTCACATTGGTAGGCGTTGTCTTAGGCAAGCTTCCCCTTTCTGGGAGGACTCATCTGGATCCATTCCGTTTGTTAAGCTGGTCTGTGAATTCAAACTGTTTTCCTCACTATCAACTTTAAAGGAAATGGCCTTGTCAGGCTTGGCTTCTAACTTTTTGGCAGGTCTTCCCCTACCTGGTACCATTCTTTCTGATTCATTATCATTAGTAACTCTTGTGACCGGCTTTCATGTAGCACATGAGGCTAATTACATGCATCAATTCATTGTTATCTGCTCTTCATTGTGGGTATACAACAAGTAGTTGCTTCAAGTTCCTGCTACAGTGACGGACTGCAACCTGTAATTATATGCATTGATTCCACGCCATCCTCTCTTCATTGTGGGTATTCAACTACTAGCTGCTTCAAGTTCCTGCTACAGTGATGGACCGCAACCTGTAATTGTGAACCATAAAAACTCTTTCCCCTTTAAGTTGTTGGATATTTTGTCACATAATAGGAAACTAAAGGTATCTATCTTCTGCTCATAGGCCTATTGCTCTATCACAGAGCTCATAGCATATTCTGAATTGCTGTGTCTTTGCAATGTGTCTCAGCGTTCGCTTGTGTAAAACTCCAGGTTTGATTTTTCTTCTAGATGGTCTTGAAATTTCTTGGGGCTGGATGTGGTGGTATGCCTTTAATCCCAGCAGAGGCAGGTGAATCTCTGCTAGTTGGAGGCCAGCCTGGTCTGCAAATTGAGTTCCAAGGCAACTAAGACTGTCACACACACAAACTCTGTCTTGAAAAAACCACACACACAGACAAGCACACACAAAACAACAACAATAAACTTTCTTGGGCCTTTTCATTTTCACATGTCTTAGGGTTTCTAGTGCTGAAAGAAAGTACCATGACCCAAAAGCAAGTTGGAGAGAAAAGGGTTTATTTGGCTTGCATTTCAAGTCGCTGTTCATCAGTGCAGAGGCCATAGAGGGATGCTGCTTACTGGCTTGCTCCCCATGGCTTGTTCAGTGTGCTTTCTTATAGAACCCAGGACCAGCAGGCCAGGGATGGCACTGCCTTCCATGAGCTGGGACCTCCCACATCAATCATTAATTAAGAAAACATCTTACAGCTGGATCTTATGGAGGCATTTTCTCAATTGAGGTTCTCTCCTTTCCGATAACTTTAGCTTGTATCAGGTACATATGACTCATCAACATACCACATAAATTTTAAATCAGATTTCAGTTTTTGATGAACACTCCTGCTGGGATATAAACTAATTTGGGAATAACCGATACCTTTACAACATTCCTTTTTTCACTAAACTTGGTATTAAAGACTTCTTTTGATATTTTAATTTTCAATGCAAGGGTCTTACAAACCGTTGTTAGCTTTGCTTCACCATTTTCTTGCTTTATTATACTAGTTAATACCTGCTGTTTGAGTAGAAGTGTCTACAGTGGAACACTTAATCAATTCATTATTTCAAAGGAAGACTTCCTTCATATTTCATCATTGAGCTTGTATAGGTTTGTATAAATACAACAAATTTTATCCCAATAAAGAGGAAGTTTATTCTGTTCCTACAAGAGTGTACTGTCGTTAACATGAATAAGCACCAGTTTTACCACATACAATTTATTTATTAATGTGACGCTGTTACATTTAACTTTTACTGTTTAGTGGCTAGCTGCCTTGATTTTCTAATTTTTAAGTTTTACCTTTTTTTAAAAAAATAAAGCGACATTTATTCCTTATAGTTGTGGAGTTGGGAGGTTCAAGATCACTGAAGATTCAATGTCTAGTAAGGGCCACTTTTTGTTTCGTACATGATACCTTTCTTGTTATATTTTCATGTGGCAGACAAAACTCTCTGGGCCCCATTATAAGACTTGTTTGTAGTTTTCTGAATATTAAATCAATCTTGAGACATCTTTCCCAAATCTGCACTACATTGTTATTTTGTTATCATTGTTATTTTGAGACAAGAGTTTTGCTAAATTGCCCACACTGCTCTCAGACTCTCTGCTTTCCTTCTACCTCAGCCTTCCCCTTCCATATTATATTCAAATATGGCTGGATCAGTTTGCTTGCTGAATACATCAGCATATGTGAGTCCCCTATAGTCAAAGATATCCAGTGGCATATTTGAAACTCAGTGAATTTGATTTACGGCTCATAACAAGCAAAGGGAATCTTGGCCATTACTGGGTATCTCTTTAAGAGGCAGTCAGGAGCTGGCGTTATCCACAGCTGTGATGAACTGAAGCTATGAAGGTAAAAAAAAAAAACTAAAGGCTGGGTTTAACTTCATCCCATGTTCAAATCCAGGCTGGTCTACCTGGTCCTCAGGGAGAGTGGTCAGTGCTTTTAACCACTGAGAAATCTCTCCAACCCCCTGAACAACTCTCTTATAGGGGAAAAGACTCTGCAGAAAAAGAGGCTGAGAAGTGAGGAGCTAGACATGGTGCCACATGCCTGTAATCCCAGCTACTTGGGAGGCAGATACAGGGAGACACAGGGAGAACATTCTTGAAGCCAGTATGAGCAACTGTGTTTTAGAAAATAAATATTATATGTATGGGTGTTTTGCTTACATGTATGTAAGGAATACATAGAGTCTGTGTGTCTGTCCACCACATACATACAGTTGTCTTGAGGACAGGAGAGGGTACTGGTACTCTGGAACTGGAGTTTCTGTTGGTTACCTACTATGTGGTTGCTGGGAATTGAACCGGGGTCCTCAGGAAGAGTGGTCAGTGCTTATGACCACTGAGCCATCTCTCTATCCCACAAACAACTCTCTTCTAGTGTAAAAAGAGCACTGGAGTAAGATCTGGGGGTTAGGAGGGAATTTGGAAAGGAGTTGCTATTTTCAGGGAGACGTCAAGGAAGCAGAGCTTTGCTTCAGTCACATTGCCAGGAAATGAGGATACTGTATAATTGAACATCTTAATCAGGCTTATCTCAGAGATGGAAAGAGTGCATTGAAGTTAGAGCTATAACTGGTGAGACCTTCAGTAGCCACACTGAGAAGACAGTCGGTTGCTTTTATGGTTTGAGCATTGCTCTTGTTTTGGTCTGTGTTCGGATATGGTTATAAATTTGTCTTGATTAATTGTAGTTACACATTGACCTTTCAGGCTGCTGGTTTTCTGTGAATGACTTAAGTTCCACCGGAGAACATAGGGACTTTTCTAAGTCCACTCTTAGGAATGTCAAAGCCTAGATGTCAAGGCCTAGAGGTCAAGGGCTGCTCTCATCTTATGGTTCATCATCTCTATTGATGAAGAAAATGGCCATGCCATTTTGCTCTTATGTTCTTTTCAGATTCTGGTATCAAACCTAGTTTGATCTGAACAATGCATTGTGAAGTGCAGACACTCTATTCTGCAGAAAAATTTGCTCAGCATTTGTATAATTCATTGGTTTTTTAACTTTATTTTATGTCTATGGGTATTTTGTTTGCATGTATGTCTCTACACCATGCGTGTGCCTGGTGTCTGAAGAGGCCAGAAGAAGGCATTAGGCTCCCTGGAATTAGAGTTACAGATGGCCATTAGCCACTATGTGGGTACAGGGAATTGATCCTGGGTCATCTGAAAGACCAGCCAGTTCTCTTAACAGCTGAGGCGTACCTCTGGCCCTGGTATTATTGATTCTTGAACGTTTTAGAGAGAATTCCCCCAGGGAAGCCATCTAGTTACTGACAAAGGCACCCTCCTCAGCAAAACTTCAATCAGGCTGTCCTCAGTTCTTGTGATTGAGCAATGACCTTGGTCTTTGTCCTTGCTGGACCAGGCTTGCTGTAGC